AATGTATGTTTGAGAAGGTATGATTTAAAGGTATACTGTCTCTTTATCATATAAACACACACCAAGGATTGTCATACATTTACCATTAATGCATATATGTATGAAAATCTTATGACTGAATGAAAGCATGACTGCTCCTAGTTATGGTTGAGGAGAAGGTTTACTATAGATATGAGGGAGAAAACAGGCAAAGGCATCTGGAAATGTCCAGACTGAACCAGGTCATGAGAAGGGGGGGGCAAGGTGAGAGGCCAGCCTTTGATTTTGTCTGTTTAATAGGCACTTTGGTTAGCCAATTGTCCTGTGTTTGAGACCTAATGATCCTATTAACCATGGTAGCACACAGCTATATTTGGAAAGTTGAGGCAGAAGAATTTTAAGTTCAAGGCCAATATGGCTTACATAGGGAGCTTCCAGCCAGCTGGGCTGCATAGCAAGATCTTGCCTCAAAATAAATAAATAAATAAATAAATAAATAAATAAATAAATAAATAAAGTCGAAGTCACAGGATGCTGAGGATGTTGGATTACAGATGCATGCCTGTAATTCCAGCAGTAAAAAGTGGCAGGAGGACTAATCCTGCAACTTGTGCTACAGAGTGAAACCCGTCTCAAAACAAACAAAACCAAAACAGCAGACCTGACACCACCCCATTAAAACATGTATCAGTTAAAAAATTAGTTTAAAAAAGAGGCTAAGGCTAGTGGTGTAGCTCGGTGACAAAGCACTTGCCTAGTATGAGGTCAGTCCCCAGCACTACAAAGAAAGAAGAAAAAAAGAAAAGAGAAGAGAAGAAAGCAAGTTGAACAGGTGAACAGGTGAACCAGAGCTGGGGCCCACAGAGCATTTGCTGGTGCCGACTCGTACACAGGCTGGTATTCCACTGGCCCAGGAGGCGTTTCCTGAGTTCTAAAAGTAAGGAGAAGCAAAACACCTGTGTGAAATGCTTGGGCTTTGGACCCTTTGTTCTCTCTCTCTCTCTCTCTCTCTCTCTCTCTCTCTCTCTCTCTCTGTTTTCAGAGAACATTTCAGGGAAGTAATTAAAATTGAAAATAGACCCAAGTCTTCTGTGACACCCAGGATGATAATATATCAGTCTAAAGAATGAGGGCAGCAGAGTTAGCTGGGTTGTCAATCATGGCACTGTGTCTTAAAGCCAGTGAGACGGTTCAGAGGGTAAAGACACTCGGACCTGAGTTCTACCCCCAGGACCTAGGTGGAAGGGAACATGACTCTAACAAATAATTGTTCTCTGACCTACACACACACACACACACACACACACACACACAGAGAGAGAGAGAGAGAGAGAGAGAGAGAGAGAGAGAGAGAGAGAGAGAGAGAGAGAGAGAGAGAGAATCAAGTAGATAAATGTAGTATTTCTAAGTTGTATCCTTTGTAAAAGAATTGTTTTGACCGGGCAGTGGTGGCGCATCCTTTAGTTCCAGCACTCGGGAGGCAGAGGCAGGTGGATCTCTGTGAGTTCCAGACCAGCCTGGTCTACAAGAGCTAGTTCCAGGACAGCCTCCAAAACCACAGAGAAACGCTGTCTTGAAAAACAAAACATCAACAACAAAAAAAAACCAAACCAAAACAAAAAAAAAAACCAAGAGTTGTTTATTCACAGACTGGAGAGAGCGCTCAGTGGTTAAGAGCACATATTTATCTTCCAGAGGACTGGAGTTCAATTCCCAGCAACGTGTCAACATGATGCTATAGACACCTGCACTCACATGTATATGGCCTCCCCAACACATATACACATAATGAAAAATAAGTCTTTTTAAAACATATTTTTAAAAAATGATAGTGTTGAAAATATATTTTAAGGAACTTGCTGTTGGAGTAGCAAGGCAGGAACTTCCTACAGTTTTAATCTAGTCTACGTGAGCTTCTCAGATATTTATTTGCCCTCACAAAGCTCAGGAACTAAGAATTGTACGACTGTTTTTCCTCAGTCTGAGGCAAACTGAGAAGAAGAAAAAACACACCTCAAAGTGGGTGTTAGACTTGACTCTGTCTTTATCTTCTTCAGCAAGTAATTTAATTCTATGAATTTCTTCTCTAAATAAGAACAACAGAATTCATTCTGTCTGAAGTACTTGACATATAGAGGCTCCATTGTGAGAGCCAGCCAGAGACTAAATGACTCATGCAAAACAGAGGATTGCCTTCCTGTCTGACTCTCCAAGAAATGCTATCATTCAGGCTAAAACCTGGGGTACAAATGTGTTTCTTTACCTAGTTTTATGGCATTTGAATTGCTAATATATTTTCAGATAGTTTAATAAATACCCTCATAGCATCTGGTGTCATAAGAAAAATACTAAGTATTTATTGGAAGCTAAAATATTTTGGTGAAAAAAAATTTTAAGTTCACTTTGAAATTCTACTTAAGCTGTAAACTTTGTATGTGTTTTTCTGGAAAATACATTGATTGATATTAGAAAATAGAAAGATTTATAATATGACATCATCAATAGCTTTGTTAACCCCTTTGTGCACAAAAGTTTTAATATTTTTCTCCATGTATAAATGTAGCTATATATGTATGTATGGTAATTTTACATACTGTTTTTTAAAAAATCATTACATTTATTTTGTGTGCGTATACATGTACACACCACGGCACATGTTTGTGTGTGTACACGGTACATGCCACGCACACTCGGAGGTCAGAGGACAGTTTGTAGGAGTCAGTTCTTTCCCTCTACCACGTGAGCTTTGGGGGTTCACTCCAATTCTGGGCTTGCCGACAAACAAAGCACCTTCACCCCTGCACCATCCGCTTGTCCTTTACTGTGTCTTCAAATTTCCTCAAAGTTTCACAAATTCTTCATGAAGTGGCTTTTGACAATTTGAGAACATCACTCTGCCATGCCCTTGTTTTGTCTATAACAGGAGTGTTTCTACACAGTCAGATCACAATGGACCCCTAGGGCTGCACTGCCCTATGTTCTCACACAGGATCATAGCACATTCCTCCCTGGTCTTGACAGCCACTCTGCTTTGTATTCACTCTTGACTCCACCAACATATATATATTTATGTGTTTTAAGTAGATGTCACTAGATGTCATGCACAGAGAGTCCCCATCATTGTGTTTTTACTTACCCAGTTTGGCCACAGAACATTTGTGTTAAATATGCAGCAAAATAGTATGTAGTTTGGCCTTTCACCTTTAAATATTCCCCTATTCCTAGAAATAAACTCAAGCAAAAACCAAAGATAATTAGTGTGGCTGAGAGGTATTGGTCTTGAAATCTACACTGGGGCTCAGGCTACTTCGCTGAGTTAAGCAGATGTTCAGGCTGTCGGTCCCAGGTCCTTGGAATCCAAGGGCTTCAGGGCCCATAATTACCCCAAGGCAGAAGGGCATAAGCAAGTCTCATGTTTTCTGAAAGCCTGTAAAGGTTTATGGTATACCAGCTAATAAGAACCAGAGGAGATCAGCCGAGCAGGAAACAGTAATGACGCCTTCTTTCCCCTTAACAGTGGCACTGGCATTAAGTACACAGACAGAGTTAAGAGTGGCGTCACTGGGGAGCAGATCTGGCTTCAGATCAATGAGCCCACTCCAAATGACAAAGGGAAGTACGTAATGGAGCTCTTTGATGGCAAGACTGGACACCAGAAGACCGTGGATCTTTCTGGACAAGGTAGACATGCTCATTAAAATTCACTACAGGATGAACCAGGGTGAAATGAGGTTATTACACTGGTGGTGTAAAGAAGTTGCTGTGTATGACGCTTGGGTTGAGTGAACCTGTTCTGATTGGCTACTCTGAGTCCCAGTCTTTTTGGAAGCCTGACTTGTTTTTAAGTTCAATTTGATTATATATCACCTTATATTAGCAACGCCATTCTGGTTAGATTTGGTTGGCTGGGGACTAGGGCAGGAACTAGGCTAAAATAATGGCCTCTGATGTGTTTTATTAATAATGATTTTTGGCGAGACAGTCTTAACTGTCAAGAATTTAGTGGGCAGACAACTGTAAAAAAGCAAGCTGGAGACAGTAAACACGGAGAGAAAGGACCACTCTCACAGGAGTGAGAGGTCTATTGACTCAAGATCACTTCCTTAAGAGCAAAGTGTGAAAAGCAATTGTGCATGGGGACTGAAATCATCCAGTCCTGGAGGGCAGCTGCTGTGACTATAAAGACTGCAGGTGCAGGGGAATCACTGACCTATCAAAGCCCCGGAAGGTGGGGGTGTGAGACTCAGGGCAGGGGGGAGTTGCCTATGAAGATTATGATAATAATAATAATAATAATAATAATAATAATATAAAAAATAATGGGGCCTCTCTGTCCATAGAGGGCAGTGAGTGATAATTAAAGGAAAGCAGCGAGCAGAATGAGGAGCTGCGAGTCTAAGTCTGAAGGGTCCCAGGGTCTTAGTGTCTGTTGAGAGATCAGGGGTTTTCATAGATAATGGGGAAGGTAACAAGTCACAAGAGAAGCAAATGACTTGCAACAGGCAAATATTGAAGGTGGCGCACCATCGCTGAGTAAAACTTAGAAAGTTAGGTAAACCGCCAAATTCACCGTGCTGTTTCTTCCCATGCCCTGGCTATATTTTCCCCCTGTGCTTCCCTAAAGAATATAAGTCTAGGTGAAAGCCACCAAAGGAGGCCAGACCGACTCTCCTCCACTCCTTGATGCATCAAGATGCAATCTTAGTGTCTCATAACTCAGCATAGATTCACAGTGTATGCAGAGAAACACTTCCCAAGCATGCATTGATAGTGTGTGTGTGTGTGTGTGTGTGTGTGTGTGTGTGTGTAGGCATGCACACATGCTGTTATCTGAGTCCCCTACTCTCATGACACCCCTACCTATTATGCCTACAAAGACTCACTGAAGGATTTGTAGTCATGGGAGAAACTGCAGCAAAGAGGCAGAGATCTTCTGACCCACATTGGCCAGCGGCGCTGTGGAGTGCCGTGGGTTTTCCCCACCCTTCATCTGATGGTGGGAAATACAATAGAAAGAGGGAATCGGTAACGGGTGGAGAAGTCTAAAACACTTCAAAAAGTATTTTTAACAGCAAAGCTTAGCAACTGCCTCACTTTTAACACCGTTTAAGACATATGCTGTGGATCCTCTCACCAGGGTTGCCACAGCCACCAAACACAAGTTAGCTTGTGCCACCCACACTGCTCTTTTTCTGCATTCAGTGTGGGGACCAGGAAGATTTCTATGCTGTCATCCTGGTTCAGCCTGAATCTCAGGCATTTTTCAGATGAGAAAAAGTAAGGCCCAGCAGCTTGAAGCCTGACTTTATACCCATTCTTCCATATAAAAAAATATGTAGATTAGTATTGTCCAAATAGTCTCTAGACTTAAAATATGGTTCTTAGCTGAGAAGGTGGCACCTCGGGTGTAAGCATTGGCTGTGGAAGTCCAACGGCCCGAGTTTAGTCCCCAGAACCCGTGAAAAACTGGATGTCACAGTACATATCCATAATGTCATTATGTCCGCCCTGAGCTGGGGCTGGGAGTGGAGACAGAAGCATCGTCTGGCAACTCAGAAGGCCAACCAGTCCAAAGTGAGCTGAGCAGCAGCAGAAACAAAAGTGACCTAACCTTATTGAGCAGCCATTGAGAACTGACTCCTGGGAGTTGTGTTCTGACCCCTCCACACAAGCCAACTCACACTCTCAGCACACGCATGCAAATAAGTCGCGTGTGTTTGTGTGTGTTTTTTGAGCCCCAAAGGAAATGGAAGATGAATTAGAAGGATTTAGCCTTTTTTCATGATCTTCTGCCAAGTGTCTTACCCTGACATCACAGGGATAAGATTATTTTGGAACACTGTAGTTCTCATCTTCTTATCTTTCTTGCCTGTGCTTCTGTCTGTGTCCGTGAGAGGAGAGAGGAGGGACAGAGGTGGGAGAGAATATAAGCAAAGCCCCATGACACATGATATGAAATGTCATAACGAAACCCATTATTTTGTATGCTAGCAAAAATGTATTTAAAAATCAAAAAGAAAGAAAAATTACAGTTTCAGGGCTCTGTTCTGTAATGGACGGCACACTGGACTTCAGGCTAGTCTCAGTATCAATGTGATCACCATTCCTCAGTGTACTCTCCTGCTTAAATGGACCAGAAAAACCTAATGTGAAGAGGTGTGAACTGTCTGGCCCAGGAGCCAGCCAGGGATAATCTAACAAGAAATTTGTTTTTCAGGATGCTTAGACAACACACCTTTATTTGAAAGACTTTTATCCCCATTTTTCCCCTTGGGTGGGACTGATAGCTAACTTTTTTGCTGAAGGTCAAGGGCCCCTTGCTGAGATGAAAGCTTCTAAAATCTCCTACCTCATATTTTCTGCATAGAAAGTACTTGTCTTGTTGAGAGTGTCACATGGCAATGTGAAGCCACAGGCAGTCTCCTGGGGAGGTGGGCAGTGACCTAACCTTGCGGCTTTAATCAACCCTATGTGCCTCAATTCTGACCGAGAAATTTTTAACTTTCTTTCTTTCTTTCTTTCTTTCTTTCTTTCTTTCTTTCTTTCTTTTTTTTTTCTTTTAAAGCATTTGATGAAGCCTTTGCTGAATTCCAGAGGTTAAAGTAAGTTACCCTTCCTGGCAAGTACCCCTCCTGCTCAGTTACATTCTTGGGACTCTGTGTACTGCTTGACTGTCTGAGTATCAGAAAGAATGCTTGTTTCAGCAAGTACAGGAAATGCCCCACTTGACACTGTTAGCTGAGCTGCAGAGTATCTCTGATATGGACCATGGACTGACTCCCCTCCCGGTTTATGTATTAAATGCAGCCCAAGGTTGTGCAAGTCTTCATAAGACAGCAACCTTCTAAACCTGCACTGAGGCATGCCTCTGTGTGTGTGTGGGGGGGGGGGTGCAGAGAGACAGAGAGACAGAGAAGGACAAAGAGATAGAGAAGGACAAAGAAAGACTACTTGAAGTGACACTAATACAACTCTTCTTTGTCTGTCTGTCTGTCTGCCTCAATCACAGACAAGCCGCCATTGCTGAAAAAAGTAAGTAATTGCCTTCACATTTAACACAGAGGCAGATTCAAAGTCAAACTTCATTTCCCAGCACAGATACAGATAATAATGAATTTTTTTTCTTGCTGGGCTTGGTGTCACAAACCTATAATCCCAGCACTTGGGAGGCAGAGGCAGAGGCAGGTGGATCTCTGTGAGTTCAAGACCAGTCTGGTCTACATAGGGAGTTCTAGGAAAGCCAGGGCTGTTTCACAGAGAACCCGGTCTCAAAAACAAAAAAAGAAAGAAAGAAAGAAAGAAAGGAAGGAAGAAAGAAAGAAAGGAAGAAAGAAAACAGATTTTTCCCCCTCTTCTTTCTTTCTTTTATAAATTGTAGATGGTCTACATATGTTTTCACTTTAGTCTTATGTCTGTAGGAAGCTCTCAATTGTGACATCTGAAGACATCCTAGGAAGTCTCTTGATTACAACCATATAAGTATTAATCACTTGTAGGTACAATGTATCAGAAGAAAATTAAACCCAGGGAAGAAAATAAGAGTCTGAAACACTGTCATTTTTACAATGGGTAAATTCATAGAAGCAAGGTCGGAGAGTCACAAATGGAAGGAAACAGCCATAAAGGCTGGTAACCTGTGAGGCTGACAACCACAGTGCCCGTGCCAGACAGGAGGCCTCAGGAGGCGCTCAGACAGTCATACCCAGAGCATACATCTTGGCCAACAGCACCAGCCCTAAATTTCAGCACCTCTCCTGTACCTATTATCTCCATCTATATACTCAGCCACAGACAGACCTGCACAGCACTACCGAGAACCAAGAAAATGAAGCTATCTAAGGAGGGCCTCAAAGGAAGCCTGCCACTGTGCAAGTCTCTGGAGCCCCCAGAGTATGTATGGAGTACAACTGGCACTCACGACAGGGGAACCATAAAGAGACCACATCCAACTCATATGTTAAGATTTGTTCTGCTTCCTTGACCTTAGGCCTGCTGAGCTACACAAGGGCTATGGCCGGATATGGCCATGAAAAATGATACAGCAGGCCTTTAAGTGACACAGTTGTCCCAAGCTGGTGCTTTAGGTACAGCTACAGTCACCTGTGTGTGAGCAGTAAGTGAGTAAGGAAGTGACCAAAGTCAGAGTCACTGAGACATTTTCCTATTTTGCATGTTGAAAGCAGTCTTGAAATAACCACCAGGACAGGAGAAACTAACTTGGGAGATTTGTGTCATGAGGTGGTTTTGAGGGCATGCTCATTGGCCCTCCTCATTGATTAACCAGAAATTCCTGTGCTTGCAGATCGGGCCCGGGTGTTGGGTGGCCTCCCTGATGTTGTCACCATCCAGGAAGGCAAGGTGAGTATAGGGTACCATTGTCCCTGCCTCCACATGGGGAGCAGGTCCCAGCACCCCGCACTGTGGTCCTTCCTTTGGCATCACACCATGTCTGTCTTACTCCTTGCATCTGCACTTCACCAGAAGAGCCAGATATAGGGTTCAAAGTTCAGCAGTCCAGTCATAATGTCTTGTCAGCCCAGCATCAGGATCAAAGTTTGTCTCGTGATGCTAAATGTAAGCCACTTCTCTAGAGGCACATTTAGAAACCAGCAGAAGCCATTCGGTTGTGTGAAAATGAACCTGAAAACATTCACTCATAACCTGTAACAAAGAAGAAAAGTTATTCCAGCACACGCTGGAAGTTAGACCATGTTATTAAGAGTCCCATGGCAGGGAACATGCTGCCTTGTGAGTTTCTATTTGGTCCATCTCCGATGAAAACCAACTCCTCTCCATTTGATATTAAACTGGCATTTCCTGGCTTCATTAATCTGAGATGAAATGCACGTGATTACATGATGCCTGTAATCAAAGAACTCAGCAGGGTGATCTAGAGTTCACAGCCCACAGTCTACCTAGCCAGACACCATATCAATAAAAATAAGTTTAATAAAACTTGTCAAAGTCCAAACAGACTTGTAGTGAAGTAAAACATTTTCCCACTTAAAAGGAACTACTGACTGTCTATGGTGGTGGTGGTGGTGGTGGGTGACCATACAGAACTTGGGTAGCAAAGCAAGGCTGTAGATTCCATTCAGGGCATTTCTTTGTAGGGGGAAAGTACCACAGTCAACTTTAAGCCTAACCTCTGAGAGAAGCTTCTGTTCTTAAACTGTCCTCTCCTCACTTAATGAGGTTGAAATCACTGGGCATCAGGGAAAAATTAAGGGAGAGTGTTGTGGAAACACCTGAACCCATAACTCAGATGGAAAGGATGGGCACTAGTTTTCCACAGTGCTTACAGCGTTTGGGGTTTAAGATCTATCAGCAAGATGTTTAAAAGAACACTCATTTCCTAGCAATGCCAACTTCATCCCTAGTCAAGATAATTAGGTAATTTGGCATCACCAGCCGTGGGGGGCGGGGCAAAGACACAGTGAAATATATACTGAATTGCAGAGATAAGTGACATGCAACAGAAATGCAAACAGTGCAAATGCAGGCAGAGATGCGGGGAAACTAAACTACTTACACATTGTTGGTAGGATGTAAGCCAAAATTATATCAGCTCTTAGCAAAAGAGCCTGGCAATGAATGAATCATATATTTATCGTACATCCCAGTGACTGCACCTGGGCACTTAGCCCAGAGAAATGGAAATGTTAAACAAGAGCCTTACTCTTTCTTCGTAATAGCCCCCAAACTGGAGACAGCTATATATGACCCTTAGGAACGTGCAGGTCACTAGTCAGCAATGAAGGACAGCATGGGTGGGTCTGCAAGGGATCATGCTGATACAAAGAAGCAGCCTGGAAAGTTTGCACACTGGAGATTATGTTTATGTAACATTTTTGAAATGACGTTTTATAAATGGAAAAACGAGTAGCAGTTGCTGAGATTGAGAACAGAGTTGACAATCAAAATGCAAAGATAGAGAGGATAGTCCCAGTGGATACATGTATAATACAATCCCCCACCTAAGACTCAGGAATCGCTGCAGAAGAGGGGGCAGAACGACAGTCAGAGCCAGCAGAGCTGTTGTGAGACTGTGTCTGCCACCATCATAAAGCCTCACCAACATGACTACCTAAACATGAGCTGAACAAGGACAACATCAGTGGACATGATAAAATGTCTGGGAAAGAGAACAAGAAACCTCAACCCTACACAAAGAACTATAGGCAACTAAGGAAGCTGAGAGCCAGAGAAATATTCTTCCCCAGGGAAGGGAAAACCAATTGGTTATCCAATACCAAATGGTCACCCTGAAAAATCACGCATACAGGTAACATTATACAGACTGAGCTGGTTATACTTAGGAACACACACACACACACACACACACACACACACACACACACACACACACACGAATATAACAACAATTAATGAAACATAGACCATGAATTTGAAAGGGAACAAGGAGGGTTTGGAAGGAAGAAAGAGAAGGGGAAATGATGAAATTATCATCGATTGTATTATAATCTCAAAAACATAAAAGGTAATTTAAAAAAAGGAACAGGGTTGAAAAGTTGGGGTAGGTCATGCAGCCTTTAAAGGACAGCACACAGGGAACTTGTGATGATGAAAATATATCGACTGTTGTGAGTACAAAACACTGAATGGAACAATCTTCACAAACCCAAGCCTCTGCCATACTTCTGAGAGCTGCATGTGAACCTGGCTGTTTTCTTAGTAAGGCTAAGTAAAACCGCAGCCTAGAGGTCAGTATTTTAGAAGACGGTTTCAGCACAGCTGGGAATGTCTTATTTAGGATGCATTTGAGCCCAGCACCTCTGCAGCAACACAGATTGGATGGGGTTCAGGGAGCTAAAGAGAGGACGATGGAATGGGAAAATTAGTCAAATTATGTAGAGCAGCTGCTGCCATTCCACTCTGGGCTCTGTGACGCCAACGAGATGCCAAAGTGAGCAGGTGGTGAGTATGGAATGTGATTTCCCTGCTGATACAGACCAGAGGCCAAAGGCATCTGGCTGTTCCTGAAGAAGTAACTGGAGCTGGAGAACAGGAGGGAGGCTCCTCAGTGGGCTGACAGCAATCACTCTGGAACCCCAAAGCCCTGCCAGCCCTTATAGATGGATGCCACTCACAGGGTACCTCAGAGCCTGACCAAAGGGCCATCACAGAACTACTTTAAACCTCGCCTGGGGGGCCCTATAATTACCCTTTAGATGAGCTGGATCAGATCCGTCACATTCCTTCCCATAAACCTGTCTTGCAGGCACTTAATCTCACTTGTAACGTGTGGGGCGACCCAACCCCTGAGGTGTCCTGGCTGAAAAACGAGAAGCCACTGGCCTCCGATGACCACTGCAGCCTCAAGTTTGAGGCCGGGAAGACTGCCTACTTCACCATCTCAGGTGTGAGCACTGCAGATTCTGGCAAGTACGGGCTGGTGGTGAAGAACAAGTACGGCTCAGAGACAAGCGACTTCACTGTCAGTGTCTTCATCCCGGAGGAGGAGGCAAGGAAGGGCCCATCAGAGCCCCAGAAAAGCAGCCAGAAGTCCAAGTGAGACTGGGTGGAGCTGCGAGGAGAGCCAGGACCAGCTGAGCCACCCCCCTGCTGCTGCTGTGAAAATGAGTTGGGTTACAGATGGGGAAGTCCCCCTGGTGTCTTCCTGTTTTGTGCTGGTTTGGGAGGAAGTTATCAAATCTCTTATTCATTTATGTGAGGCACCAATTAACGACACTTTAAGGGTTTTTATCTACAGTTTATATAGTAAAAAAATCTTAGGAAGTGGTTTCACGGAAGAAGGCCAGGAAATGTGGAGAGATGTTGACTGAGAGAAGGAGAGGGACAGAGTTGGAAGCAGACCAAGTTCTTAGGAGTTGTGTCTACACTTGGCATTTAGTCAAAGCAGAAACATGCTGGTCAGGCCATGAGTGTGGTTGGTCACTATTACCGTAGTAACCGTGCAGCCTGGTGGTGTGAATAAAGAGTCTCCTCCCTTTCCTCTCCTTCCTCGTGTCTCTCTGATCCTCACCATGTTGCTGCTTAGGTGGGGCTTTCCTGCCTCTCCTTGACACTACTGTAGCTCATCTTCTGATTTGCACCCTTTACACAAAAGCAGTACCTTCTGGACGTAGTCAGATAAACCATTTAAGGTCAACAGAGGCCCTGAGTTCGATGCCTATCTGGTCACTTAGCCTACATCTCATCATTAAGATGGAGCAGTCATTGACTGACATGTGACAGTTAATTATGACAAGATGCATGATACTGAAGAGGTCTTGTCTCATTTGACCTGTCAAAGGTGGGCATCTTAGTCGATGTAATGCTTGTATAGCCAGGACACCGAAACCGAGTGACTTAGAATGAAAAGAGATTAGTTTTTGTTTGTTTGTTTGTTTGTTTTCTAGAGGCCCCCAAAGTCCAAGATCAAAGGGTTATTGTCTGGCAAGGATTGGGCTAGAATCTTGCTAGGGGCCTTTTTTGCTTCCCTGTCTGATGACAGGAGGAAAAAAGCAAGAGAATAAACTCTCAGAGGAGAGGAAGTCGGGTCCAAACTCAGCCTATTGTCAGGAACCCTCTCCAGCGGCAGCCAAACCATTCTGTTGTGTACCCTGACTGCGTTCTGAGCATATCAAAGATACGTTTCTAGTTGTGAACACAGGAGATGTTTAACCTGATAGTAAGAACAAAACAGAGACCTCCCTATACAGGAGAAACGGCCCCTGTGCATACAGAGCTTTAAAAAGTTCTGGACTGAGGTTGGCTCCTGTCTGATTGTTGGACATTCACTGCCTAGCTGAGTGTCTGCTGCTGTGCACTGGACACATGAGAAGGAGCTGTTACCCGAATCTCACTCTGGCATCCTCTCTGGTGATGGCAGGCCTCACTTCAGGACTCTCATCAGGACGCCTCACCAAAGCCACTGGGGCTGCCTGGCCTTGGCTGCCCCGCTTCTGAACTAAAGAAAGTTCATTTCTTTGCAAAGTCAGGCTTCAGGTCCTCCAATATAGGAAACATATATACGCTCTAGCATAGCTAATAAGTTCGTTTCTGGGAACCAAGTGAGGGAGATCCAGACATAGTCTAAATCCTCCCTGCCTCAGCAAAAAGGCTACCCGGGGCAAGTAGACCAGAAGGAAAGGGCTGCCAGGTGCAGACCTGGCAGGAAGCCATCTCCCATGCCCTCCACAGAACCCACAATACAGCACACATAAGCAAGGGCCAGCAGCAGAGTCCGGTGTTAAGAGACAAAGGGTGAGGGAAGTGGAGTCCAGCGCCCTGCTCTGGGACCTTCTCAGGCTTGAGAAGGCATGTCGAATCTCGAAAACTGAGATACCATGTTCTGATTTCTTAAATTGTATGAGAACATGAAACCAACATGTGCTCCACCAGGAGCCCCACCATGTGGCAGAGGGGCCTGATGGATGGGGGCGGCAGGGAGAAAGACAGGAATGTTTATATTCAGGGCAATATTTGCTGATATTCCTCAACAAACTGATTCTAAGAAGTATTCCCGCCATTACAGTGGCCAAACTATAGTATCAACACCACAAAACCAGGAGCTTTTGAAGCTATTTCTAAATGGAAAAACACAACTAAAACCATAGATCTGTTGGCGTAACAATGCTGAAGTTTCCTCCTAACGCGTAATTCGTGAATCTGTGACCTGCTATCAGTGTAGTCATATTGGAACACAGTAAAATCTGTTCCTATAAAATTAACATATAATAAGGGCAACTGACAAATTCTGAAACATTTCTAAGCCCTGCAAGTGCATTTTGACTAGTCTCAAAATAGGTTAATGCAACTTTATTCAGGGAGAATGCACTTACACAAGAAGTAGATGACCACCACAAGTTCCAGCTCCAAGGATTCACCCAGGATGCCCTCTGTGACCCGGCCGAGAGCAAGAGAGAGCACCTGTCCCAACCTCAGACCTAAAACCCGCTCTCCATTTGGGTGTGGTCAGTGCTACAGGTGCAGGCAGGGTGGATATCTCACTATACATCCTTACATTTTTCTGTTTAAAAATTTAGTCATTGAGGGCTAGAGAAATGGCTCAGTGGCTAAGAGCACTGACTGTTGCTCCTCCCATAGGACCTAGGTTCAATTTCTAGCACCTACATGGCAGCTCACAACTGTCTGTAACTCCAGTTCCAAGGGATCTAACACCCTCACACACACATACATGCAGGAAAAACACCAATGCACATAAATTTTTAATTTTAAAAAAGTATCAAAAATTAGTCATTGAAAAACAGTTTAAGGACTACTCTTTATAATATTAAAAATTCTCTTTAGTTTGTTATATTCATCAATTGATTTTTTTTCCATTTTAACCATTGCTGTTATCTGGCTTAGACAAAACAATACCAAGAAACTAGCCATAATTGCCTATTAAACTATGTGTATAAATATGGAAAATTTGTGTTCTCATGTTACATATAAAGTGAGATTTAAAATGATAGTCAAGCCTTTTAAGTTTAGAATCAGAAATGTAAGCTGTCACTAGACTAAACTTTCTAAAGCATTCCAAGCGCATAAGAATAAAACAGAAGGACTGGAAGAGGGTTCAGTCTGTAAAGTACTTGCCACATGCATGAGGAGTAGAGTTTGATCCCTACATGGCATGAGGCATGAGAAGTCAGGTGTGGGATTGTGCGCACTTGCACTGGGAGGCAGAGACTGAAGGATTTGGGGCTGTCTGGCAGCCAACCTAGCCAGAACAAGGTAGACAGCTCCTAAGGAATGTCACTGAGGTTGACCACACACACACACACACACACGCACGCACGCACGCACGCACGCACGCACGCACGCACGCACACATGCACCCCACATAAAATACACAGACTATACAGCTGCAAAACTAATTTTATATCCATAGAAACCCTCACAACAGGGACTGGAGTTTAATACTAACACCAGAACAGGAGATGTGGACTCAGATTGTTCAAGGCGGACTGTGCAAAGTCAGCTTAGACTAAACAAAGATGATAGTAATAAAATTACCACCAACTGACTATTGAGTTTGCCATCTGCCTGGAGATGGTTCTGGGGAGAAAAAATAAATAAAATTCCTCAAGTCTGTAATGGCTACATGTGGGGTCTACGTGTATATCATGGCATCCTGTACGAGCCCTGAGCCAAGAACACCCATGAAAATGGAAATGATGTCTGGAGTCCAGAGAAGCAAATATAAAACTACACTACAAGGGACTTCTGTGTCTAACCACAAAGAGTCACTGTTAGGAGGACCGTCCTTGCATGAACAGCTAGAAAACCTGGCTAAATATAAAGCAGAAAATGCTGGGGCCTGGGCTAGCTCACACATAGGACTGTGATTCCTGGGGGCAGGGGCGGTGGGGGGGGGCTGGGAATGAGTTATAGCAACAGCTGTGACTTCTCCAGCTGTTTGCTTGGATGGAGAGCCCAAGCTACAGCTCAGTCTCACTGAACTGAAGAGAGGGAGATGTGATGGGGAATGTACTTCTGTGTATGTTTATCTTATTGATTATTGAATAAAATACTGTTTGACCAATGGTATCAAGTTAGGCAGGACTAGGAGTCAAAGAGGATTCTGGGAAATGTAGTAGAGAAGTGGTGATCCAGGCAGGAAGTGACATAGCAAGGAGACTCATATTTAAGAAAGGAGAAACAGGAAGTGTCCCCTTTTCCCCTTTGCTCTTCCTCCAACGGTGCAATGTGATCCACCGGCAAGGAGGGACGCCAATAAGGCATCCGATAAGATAAGTCTTATAAAATATATAGCTTTATGATAATTGAGACTGAGCTAACAGATGAGAATCCTAGTCATTGGCCAAGCAGCACTGTACCTAATATAAGTCTCTCTGTGCATTAATTGGGGCCCTAATTTGAGCGGGCAACTGGTATAAAGTGCACACGTGGCTGTGGGGCTCAGCGGCTTTTGGCGGAAAGATTTATCATAACAGAGATGGAAGTTAAAAAAAGCTGAGGTGTCAAGAATGCCTGTGAAGCTTATTAGAGAGGAGAATTGCACGGAGGCCAGAGGGCTGGAGTGATGCAGCTGGCCAGGATGACCTCTGGAAGGAGCCACTGGAGTGTCTCAGGCAAACAATTCTTGATGATCACTCAGGGTGGAAATATATCTCATTGTTACCAGCACAAATGAAAAGTGTGATACATGGGACATTGGACAGACTCCTCAGAAGTTTCTCACTTTAACGCTAGAGGCAAGTAGTCCTAGACTGAAAGCTGCTCCTGGTCCCAAAGCTAAAAAGGAAGCTGCAACCATCTGGAGAGATGGCACAATGCGTAAGCGTGCTTGCTTTGAAAGCATAAGGATTTGAGTTCAAGTCCTCAGAATTCACATAAGCAGCATGAAAACAAACCAGCTCTTGAACCAGTAAGCCAGGAAATAAAGGTTCCATGTCACTGGACAAGCAGAACTCAAGGATTTCCTCCCAGAAACCAGCTGTGTCCCTTGTATTGTTCTGTGTCCTTTATCTGATGTCTCTGAGGCTAAGACTGGCTATCTAAACAGTGCTCAGAGCCTGCCCACTGAAAGCCCCTTCAAGCATCTCTTCAGGCCAGCCACAGCCCAAATGTGGAACCTATGCACCCAGCTCTGCTGCCCTCCACACTTCAGCATTCCCTGCTGGCTCACCAGGCCTAAAAAGCACCCGTGCTCACCACCACCTGCCAACACAGGCCCTTCCTGTTCCTGTTCTTCCTACACAGTACAGCTCCAGTCACCAGAAAGTCACATGAGAAGGGTCCCTTTTCACACTCCCAACCAAGGACCATGATGCCAAGAGGAGGTTTCTTTGTTTTATTTCATGGAAGATAAATCTGCCGAGGGAGAAGTGAAATAATCGCTGGGTACGCTGGAATCAGTGAAGCTGAAAACCCCCTCTCCAGAGGCTGCCAGTTTCTAAAGCACAAAAATTAAGATGAGGCAATGATGCAAATGAAATCCAACTCTTGATTTCCTCCAAACTGAAAGCAATTACCTCTATGCTGGG